GAGAGAGAGAGAGAGAGAGAGAGAGAGAGAGAGAGAGAGAGAGAGAGAGAGAGAGAGAGAGAGAGAGAGAGAGTCGTTTTGGAGGTGCACAGGAGACCAACGATGTTTGGTGATGCAAGAAGATGATAGACGACCGAGAGCCTGTTGGGTTAGAGGAGGAAGCCACGCGTTGTGCGGTAAGAGGGCTAAGGGAGAGGAAGCCATAGTCGTAGGAGATTGCGAGGTTCATAGGGGAGAGCCGGACAGAGAAGAGGAGAGGAGTCAGATGGAGCAGGATTTGATTGCGGGGGAGAGGGATGGGATCGGAAGAGGGGTGGAAACGAGTCTCGGGTGGAGGGCGATCCAACGATGAGATTTGGTGAGGAAGCGACGGGCTGGCGATGAGAAAGGGGAGGAAGCAACGAGGCAGCGATGAGAAAGGGTATCGAACAGCTAGTATGTGAAAGGGAGGTGAAGGAGCGGCGATGAAAGAATATGAGCCCGCGATAAGAAAAGGGGGGTGGAGGTGCGACAAGCCAGCGATGGCAAGAGAGATGATGAGGCGACAAGCCTGCGATAAGGCAAGGGGATAGGGAGACAACGATTGAACGATGAGAAAGGAGGTAAATACGCGACTTGGAGAGGGGTATAAAAGTTGGTGAGAAAGCAGATGGGCGATGGTTCGCTTGTTTACATTCATTATGAGGGTGCTTTGTGGTCGCGGGCGACGGTAGCGAATGCTGAATCCTACCTAATCTGACAATTCGATCAAATATAGTGAAATCCAGCCATGGCTGACAAGATCTAATCATACATAATAAATCCGATCGGATCGAATAATAGTGAATCCAATCAGATCAACTATATATTATAGCAAATCCAATCAGATCATCTATACATAGCAAATCCAATCAGATCAACTTAAGTTATAGCAATCCAATCACATCAACATACAACACAACGAATCAGATCAACTAGATAGAGCGAATCCAGACTTAAGTTATAGCAAATCCAATCAGAGCAACTCACAGCAAATCCAATCAGATCAAGTCATAGCAAATCCGGTCAGATCGAATAATAGCAAATCCAGTCAGATCAACTTAGCGCAAATCCGATCGGATCAAATAATAGCAAATCCGATCAGATCGAATGTAGTGAATCCGAACAGATCAACTATATATAGCAAATCCAATCAGATCAAATATATATACAACAAATCCAATCAGATCAACCGTGAATAGCAAAGCCGGTCAGATCAACTATATATTATCACATTGTGGATCAGCCACGTGGCGCGGGCTGCCTGTTCTTCACCACTTACGCACAAGGCCATCCACGTGGATGACTGGTTGAGCGCTGGCTGCCCCCATCCCCGTGTGTCACAAGGACCCACTTGCACGCAGCCAAAAGGCAAAGAGGACGTCGAGGAAGATGAGGGGGAGGCAATGGTGCCCAGGGAGGTGACTACGGTGTTGGAGGTGGACGCGACGATGGAGGGGGAGACAAACGCGAAGGCAAAGATGGGGGAAGAGAAGAACGGCACCGAGGAGGAAGAAAAGAAAGAGGAGAAGCAGGAGAAAAAAACGGGAACGAGGGGGTGGAAGAAGGAGAAGAGGCCGAGGACGAAGTAGTAGAAGGAAAGGTGGAAGAAAATAAGAATATGGAGGAGGTGACGGTGGAGGAGGTGAAGTCGGAGGAGGAGAAGAGGAGGGTGAGGAAGACAGGGAGGGGGGGTGGCGTCCATGGTAGTAGAGGCGGCTATGAAGAGGGAGGTGTCGGCCATGTACGTAACTAGGGTGATGCAGGTGGCAGCAATGATGGAACGGGAGGCGGACCAAAGGTGGAGATTGGGGAGGAGAAGAAGGATGACGAGGAGGAAGAATAGGAGGAGGAAAAAGAAGCGAACGAGGACAGAAGGAGGAAAAGAAGGACGAGAAAAACGCTTGAACGGAGCGGGCGGACGAAAAAGACAAGAAGAAGGACGAGAAGGATGAGGAGGAAGAATAAGTAAAGGAGGAAAAAGAGAAAAGGTGGAGAAGAGGGAGAACTGTAAAGGGGAATTCGATAGGGAGGAGAAGGCAACTCTCTGCCTGACCCTAGCCCCTTTATCGAATCAATCAATTAATCAATCAATCAATCAATTAATCAATCAATCAATCAATCAATCAATCAATCAATTAACCAATCAATTAACCAATCAATTAACCAATCAATTAACCATTGGCAATCAATCGACCAATCAATCAATGGCCGTATGGATGAAGCCCCTTTTTTTTTCCTGTAAAAAAAAAACTTAATCTATCAATCATCTCAATGTTGTGCTGCGATGGTGTGCAATTGATTTTGTCTTTGAGTGAATGTCATAATCACATAATCCTTACACCGCTCAACCAATCGACAACCAATCAGTCAATCAATCAATCAATCAATCAATCAATCAATCAATCAATCAATCAATTAATCACCCACTCAAACAATCGACTAACCAATCAATCAGTCGATCAATCCATCAATGAACCACGTCCAATCAATCAATCAATCAACCATGTCCAATCAAAAACCAACCAACCAATCAATCAATCAATCAACCAACCATGTCCAATGACGGACGCATCGAATGGACAAATGATTAATCGATAAACAAATTCGTCGACCGATTGATTGGTTGATTGATTGTGCAGGTCTGTTCTGGCACTTTGCTGGCATCGGTTCAGTCAAGATCAAGGGGAACATACGTCGTTGTCCTTTGCCGTGTTTCTTCAATCGCACGCGTCAGGTTCTGTCTCTTATACACATCTAGATGTGTATAAGGGTTCAGTCAAGATCAAGGGGAACATACGTCGTTGTCCTTTGCCGTGTTTCTTCAATCGCACGCGTCAGGTTGCCGGCTTGTAGGGTCAAGCGTGTGTGTGTGGGGGGGGGGGGGGAGGAGGAGGAGAGCGGCGGAAAGGAGGTGGGAAGGCAGAGAGGGAGCGCCGACATGGCGCACAGGTCGAAGTTCGTGCCTAATGAAGACTTCGAGAACGACCCTCGGCCAAAGCACGTCATCTGGAAGTACGTGCAGAAGGGGCAGGTGTGGATCAGCCCTTCGGGAGTGGACCCGAAGGGCAATCACGAGCTACGTTGCAGATTGTGTGGTCACTGGTGGGTCGGCAACCAGACCAAGGCCACCCTACACTTCAACACCACATGCGAGCATGCCAGATGCCCGCACGCGTGCGTGTACATCCTTAGGGAGCTGCAGAGGGCACGCGTCCCGTTGAAGGGTTCCCTCCCTGTCTATGTGCGGGAGGCTCACAGGGAGGGTGAGCTCGATTTCGAGCATCCCCTCAACTGGAGACTGCCTGGCGGTGTAGCACGACAGCCCCCTCTGGTCCCTGCGCGTGATTTGGCACAGGGACGAGGGCGGGCATACCGAGAAGGTCCGGCACCGGTGGTAAGGCAGGACGGAGCGCGTCCCTTTGAAGGAGTGGGCGCCTCTGGAGCAGTGGGCACGACTGGTGGAGGGGGAGAGGGAGCAGGAGAGGTCCCGTCAGGGGTAGAGGGAGCAGGAGAGGGCTCGCGTGGAGCAGGGGAGGGCCCGTCAGGGGTAGAAGGAGTAGGGGACGAGAAAGAGCGTGCAGAGCACGCAAGGGCGAGACAGTTGATCTGGTGGGGAAGAGGCCGCATGGTGCTTCACATTTGCAGCCAGGGAGGGGACGGTGCGTGCCTGATGGGGCTGCTAGCGGTCCGCGGGACGAGCAGCAGTGGTGGAGAGAGAGGGTGCTCCAGCGAGCGAGAGACGAGGGCATACATGTCCCTGCCTACCTCGAGGAAGGGCTGGCGGCAGACCCTGTAGAGCGGAGACAGGCTCGCCACCGAGTGCCCAGAGTGACCCAGACTCGTCTTGACGGTTGGGTCGAGCACCCCATCCATTACGACCTCGACATGGCGTATATCAGATTCTTTGTGGGCTGTGGTGTCCCGTTCAACGTTGCTAGATCGGAGTGGTATTTGGCTCTACACGACGTCTACCTCAGTCAGTTCAAGGGTCCGTACCGACCGCACCAGCCGGGGTCTGAGTTACTGCGCACGACTCTGTTGTCCCAGTTGTACGCGGAGCTCGATGAGCGTTTGCGGTATCACTGAGAGTCGTGGTCTGAGGGGGTCACTTTCATGACGGGCGGCTGGTCGACTCAGGCCAACTGCCCTCTCTGCAACTACTTGGTTGCAGGGAGGTTGGGTGCATCCCTGTACCGTATTGAGGATATGTTCGGTAGGGAGCGGACCGGAGCAGGTCTATACCTCAGATGGAGGGAGCTCATTCTGGAGATCGGCGCTCAGCATGTGGTAGCGATATGTATGGACAATGCGTTGGCCAACAAGGAGGCTTACCGTTTGCTCCGTAATGACCAGGATCTTTCATTGCGAAAGATCGCTTGGATCCCTTGCGCAGCCCACTGCTGCAATTTGATGCTTACGCACATCGCCAGACAGCCGTGGGTTGCGCAGGTCGTCGGGGAGGGGCGAGATATCACTTTGTTTTTTCGGCGGCACGCACGGGCAGCGTACCTCTTGAGTCGGCAGTCTCCTCCTGTGTCCTTGATCCGCCTGAGGGAGACGCGGTACGGGACCAACTTGATCATGTTGAGGCGCATGTTGGACTTGCATTTATTTTTGGATGCCTGTGTTAGCAGCAGTGCTTGGGCGACGACTGCGTGGCTCCCCGCACTGAGGTATGGCGCACGCAGGTGCTTTGACCTTCTCCGCGACCCCAAGTGGTGGCAGCAGGTGGATCTGGTTGCCACCATTATGGGCCCCATTCACGAGCTCCTTCAGCATGTTGATTCTGACGGGCGTAGGGTCGGCGACGTGTGGGGTCTGCTAGAGAGGCTGCAGATTACCGTAGATCGACGATCTCTTGATGAGGCTTGTCACCAACCCATAAAGAAGATAGTCAAGGAAAGGTCAGATATGCTCCTCACCCCCATTCATTGCGCTCCGTACCTGTTACACTTCAAGTACCGCAGCATTGACAGCTTGATGCGAGGGATGGTGGAGGAGCGCATTCTCCACCTTGATTACATCGCGAGCCAGATCGCGGGAGGCCGAAAGGGCGACGAGATGACTGTCGTGTGGAGTTCTTCGCAGGACTTCCATGGCAAGTATCCCACACCTGGTCATTGGGGGGGACCCGTCGGAGATGCAAAGATCGAGCAGCCTGACTTTGATCCCGTGAGGTGGTGGAGGGTTCAGGAGGGTGATCATCGGGTACTGCGAGATGTCGCCATGCGCTGCTTGGGTGCGTGGACCACTGCCTCTCCCTGTAAGAGGAACTGGTCCACGCATGACTTCGTTTACACGAAGAGGCGCAACAGGGAGGGCGTCGAGCAGTTGGAGAAGTTTGTGTTCTATCACTGGAACCTTAAGCTTCTCCAGAGCAGTCACTCGCGCGGCGGGTTCATAGGGGCAGGCCTCCCAGGGGTCGGAGTGACTGATGTGGAGAGGAGGGATGAGGACTACTCCCGTTTCGAGCCGGACGTGATGGCCCTGGGGACATACGACTCGGCGGAGATCGAGAGGGAGGCCGATCGCCTTAGGAGGCAATCGAGTGGCAGACGCTTGGCGCCGACCGCTGCAGCACTGGCTCATAAGATTCGCCAACAGGGCGAAGACGCAATCCGCGGAGAGGATGTGATTGACGATGACGTGTCGTGGTTGTCGGGACCTTATCGAGGGGATGGGTTTTTGGATGTCGAGGCCCCTGCCACTGTGAGCCCTGCAGGTCGGATGCTCCCACCACGCACTAGCCTTCGCGGTGACGATTTTCCCGGTGATGAGGCCCCCTTTGCTGGCACACCTGCATGTGAGGCAGACTCGCACAGCCTTCGTGGAGACAAGTTTCCAGACGTGTCGGCCGACGCTGGCCCAGATGATGGCATGGGCGGGGGGGGGAGGCGGTTGCAGGTCGATGCATCCACCGCCACACCACACGAGTCCCATCAGCCCAGGGAGCCCGCTACACGATCTTCGACTCTAACAGCCCTTGAGGACACGCTGCAGCCGTCCTCCGCGACAGGTTTTGTTGAGGGCACGTCGTCCGAGTCCCCCACCGCGGCTGCTGCCACCTTTTCCAGCCCCCACCGTGCAGTGGAGTACGACTCCGAGGGGAGGCTTAGGCGACGAGCCGGTTTCACCGGTCAGCTGGATTTGTGGCCAGCGTCGGCTGTATGCCATGATGTTGAGAGGGATTTTGCGGCGTACTTACCGAGACCGTTGTCAGATCTGCCTCGAGTTGCCCCTGACGCGGAGACCGGTGTCGGCGCGAATACCCTTATAAGGGTATCTGCCCTGGTTTTTGCAGGCGACAGAAAACAATTTTGGTTTAAAGTTTAAGTATACCGCGCTAGGCGCAGCTGTGTCCGTGATAACGTTGACTGGATGGTTGACTAGAGTAAAGGGTGCGTGGGCGCGCAGGTTTAAGGCGCGCGTGATTCCTTTTGTTGTTGATTATAAAGCCGCCGCAGACGTCGGTCGTTTTATGTAACGATATTATTAATGTTTGTTTATTTTTGATTAAGCAGGATTAAGGGATATTTTCCCTTGGTTGGTACGTTTGACCAAGCAGAGCGCACGTGCGAGGCCGGCTAGCATCGACGCCGCGGCAGTGGAGCATCGGGGAGAAAGCTGATGGGGTTGAGGGTCGTGGGGCTATCCCCCTCAGTTTTGTTAGTGGCGGCGTCTGATCGGTGGTGGCATTTTCTAAATAGTTTTATTCTAGTGTCGTTTTTTTTTTTTTTAATATAATTGATTTGGACGGGACGCCGGATCTAATGGTCGTCGCGGCGGTCGAGGACCTTGAGTGCGCGCCTTTTAAGGCTGGCCTGCGGGTTCTCGCGCGCTTGGGGTGCCGGCGACATTTCTGTATCCTAATTATTTTGGTGCGTGGGCCGAGGAGCACCGTCCGTCCCCACGCGGTCCGCCCGCGGGGCTTTTCCTCCACTTCGGTCTTCAAAGTTCTCATTGGAATTACCATCGAAGGTTGTACGGGGCCCGCTTCACCAAGGCCCACGTATAGGCCTAACAGCGGGCCGCGGGTCCACAACCAACTGACTGAACGCGAGTTTGTCAGTTGGGGGTCCGAGGTGGTGGTGGACACCGTCGGAGCGGAGCGGGGCAAGAAAGGGCTGTGGCAGGCCGCCCGCCGACCATAGGCTGAAGAAACCGGTAGCCGGGGCGAGTAGAGAGTTTGGCGGGGTGATGCAGTGGCCGGCGGGCCAGGTAGCGAACAGGCAACTACGAAGAAGAACAGAATGAACCTGGACGGGGCCCGTGCTGGGTGCATTCGGGGGGATAAGGCAACGGGGAGGTGGTAGCGTTGGAGTGAGGCCCGACGAACGCTAATACAGCGCGGCGCAGCAGCGGGCTGAGCGGCGGAGCAGTGGTGCAGACGGGAGGCACACCGTCTGGTGGACTATAGGGGCGAAAGACAAATCGAACCGTCTAGTAGCTGAGTCCCTCCAAGGTTTCCCTCGGGATGGCCGTAGCTTGGGCCGACTGGCCGAGCAGCGCTGCACAGCTGCGGATGGAAAGAATAGCACAGCGGGCTGACAGGCGCTACGGGAGTGTTGAGGCGGAGTGGTGAAGCGAAGGCAGTACGAAGGGCGAATGAATTTGGACGAATGGGCGGGCAAAGTGCGTGCAGAGAAGGAAACGGTGATGGGGAAGGGGAGGCAGGAAGGAGAATGTTAATCACCGTGACACCCGTTTCTTAACGAAAACGGGCGGGGTAGGACTCGAATTGGGGATTCTCGGGCCTGGCGACCCCGATTCTGAAGTCAGAATCGACAGTAGGTTAGTGTAGAAGGAGGTTAGAAGAAAGAGTAGAGCGTGAGGCTATGGCGGGACCGAGAATGAAGGAGGAGGAAAAAGGAAAAAGGGAGTTCCTCCTCCGATAGAAGGGGATTCGGGTGAGTGCGAGGTTGAATATGAGGGTTAGGAGCATGGTGAATATGATTGTGAGGTTAGTTTTAGGGAGAAATTAGTAGATTTAGAGTCGGATGAAGTACAGACTGCGCGGAGATGGCAAGGAGGGAAGAGGTGGTAGGAGTGAAATGCTCGAATCTCGCTCGATCCACCGTGGATTCGAGCGAGATAAGATGCAAAATAGAGGTTTTTGGGCAGCGCGAGTATGATGGCGTGGTTAGTTTTGAGATTAGTTGGTTAGGATAGGAGTTAGATAGAAAAGGTTGCGCGCGGGATATGGCGGAGGTGAAAACGAAGGAAGAGTGGGAGTGAAAAGCATGTATCTCGCTCGATTCGTAACGGAATCGGGCGAAACAAAATATCTGATAGGGGTTTTAGACCGATCTAAAGTGATTGGACATGTTAGATCCTTGATCTAGGAATCAATCTAGTTAGCACTGTCTGCATGGGCTGCGCGGTGTGAAGACGACAGCTAGCGAGTTGGGCGCAACCATAGATTGTCGTTTCGCTCGATCCTTGATAAGATCGAGTGAGCAGCAAACGAACTAAGTCTTTGGGGTCTCATCCAGTGGCAATAGAGGATCTACAGCCAGAATGGCAAGAGAGTTAGTACAGAGGGAGGTTAGGAGAGAAAGAGCCGCGCGGGAAATGACGGGGGTGAAAACGGAAAAAGGTTGAATGCATCTGGCCAGGCGTTAGTGGAACGTTCATTCGATTTTGCTTATCTTAATGACAGAGGTAATGCGAGGTAACCCATAAGGCTGGAGACTTACCTGTTGACCCTTGCGTCGCTCCGCTGACGGTTGAAGCTTGGGCAGAGAGAGAGAGAGACTCACTATGTTAGCGGAGCACGTACCAGGAGGGAATCGCTGACGAGGTGTGTAGTTGTGTTTGCCATCGGACATCATGAAACAAAGTGAACCTGACCGCTATTGTGGGTCAGGTACTTCGAGATAATGGTCGTTCGGGTCGGATGTTTGAGCCGCCTGCTGGGATCCAGGAGCTAAGTCTGAACAGGGATGGGAGTTTGCAGCGTTGGTGGCCCCGAGAACAACGGTCATCACGAAGCTGAGGTCAATGCAGCTGCTCTTGTTTTCTACAGATTGTTGGGATTGCATGATTGGAGAATTGGAGGGCTGTTATTAGATGCAAAATTGTTGTGCAGCAAAGCAGCGAGTCTCCTTCTTTCATCAGACAGGTTTCCTTCCTTCAAACTGCTACTGTGGGATAGACTGAGAGTCAGCGGTGCATGGCGGTTCTTAGTGATGAATGCCTACAGGCAATTGACAAATTAGAGGACTTCTCTTCGGTTGAGCCACTGTGAAGAGTATTGGGGAGGACTGTCAGGCCGCGGTTGCTAGGTTCCACTAGCTGACCGAGTATGGGTGGTCCGCTACCTCGTTTCCGCCTGCTAATTGGTCTGTTGCGTTGCTCAGGAGGGCTGCGTGTTCGCCAACCGGACTGGGGTATTACTTGGCCTAGTACGCGGTGACGAAAGGTGTGAGTTGGCGACGCCTGCTGAGACTACTACATGCAGCAGTATTGTGCTCACCATATTGGGCGAGGTGCGACGGACTGGCCGAGGAAGTACAGACTGATTTGTGGCCAGTGCACGTTAGAATAAAAGTCGGCCGGACAGTGTGATCGTGTTTTGTGCTGAACATTAAGAAGTCGTCGGGAGGATGACTCTAACATTGACTTGACCAGATCTAAGTTGTTCGTTGGCCATCATTGCGGGACCCTCAGACGTTGGAAAATAACAAGGCTCTCTCCTGCGAGACTGAGAGCACCATCCTTGGATCTGAGAGTCTCAAACCCTTTTCTATCTACCTTTCTAAGTCTCAGTCTAGTCCTTGGTTACAAGAGGAAGGCGGTAGGCGGGATTGCAACCCCTAGGTCCGCGTCAAGACTCTCTGGGGAGTCCACCCACCGATTGCGGGAGCTCTGCCGGAACTAAGGAGGAGTTATGGAGGCAGAAAATCGTCATGTAAACCACTTTCATCTGTACAACCTACTACCACCCATGTTTTGTTTATCTCTCTGTAGTATGACTGCTGTATGCATGAGATTGTCCCTATGGTTTTTGTTTTCCCTTCAGGACCCAATCAGACTAAATGGAAGGAATGTGTAAAAGTGAAGTTTAAGTTTCTCTTTTGTTTTGACTGGAAGCAGACTAAGGTATGAATTGGGGGAAGGTGGGAGGAAGGCAGTTTTGCATGTGTTTGAAAGGGTCAACCAAAGCCTGAGCATTGTTTCTACTGAGAATGGCTCAGGGCTATGTTTATTTGGCTATTTTCTGAAGGACCGGACATTGTTTCTACTGTGAATGACCTGGTTGTTATGTTTATCTAGTTGTTTTCTGGAGAACCAGGAATTGTTTCTACTGTGAATGGCCTGTTTACTCTAGATAACTCGGGGGGTTTGCCTTATTGAAGGGGTTTAATTTCTTGTTTCATTCTGAGGGAGGATTTCTAGTCTAAGGCTAAGCATTGTTTCTACTGTGGATGGTTTAGCCTGAAAACCACGCACGTGAACTAAACTAAGTATTAAGGAAAGTACTTTATGTATATTTGTATGTGAACGGGCAGCAAGACATAGTTTCTCATGTGAATGGTCCAACGTTAAGCCATATCATTAATTAGAGAAAAGGGAAAATACGAAGTCGGGGTGACTTTGCAACAACTGGCATTTGCAGAACTTGTTGTGCGGTCTGAAATTCAATAGACTAAGAAGACAAGCAAAGCATCATAGCAGATTCGGAAATTAACATCAATTAAGCAAGATATTGTGACATCAGTGCATAATCGCGACACCGTAATGAGCTTTTCAATATTCAAGCTTGATCGCACAACATCAGTTGCAGAAAAGGCTGTGACATTCTCTAAAGCAATGCAATGTGGCTCGTGTCATAAATATCACTAAAGATGATTATGAGCTTAAAGTTCTTGCGAAACCACGTGGCAGCAAATCAGGGAGAGAATGAGAGACAGAAACTTCAATTGCAAGACTGTAATACTTAGTTCGTGACGGCATGTGCGATGCAGCAATGCACTGTACTTGAACTTAAGGGCGTTCGAAGTTTTAGTACGCCATGTATTTGTGTGGCATCTATAAGGAGACTAATATTGCAAATGTTGCATGTATCATGAGACTTTACAAATGCGCGGAGAGAGAGAGAGAGAGAGAGAGAGAGAGAGAGAGAGAGAGAGAGAGAGAGAGAGAGAGAGAGAGAGAGAGAGAGTAAAATAGAGATAGAGAGAGAAAGACAGAGACAGCAAGAGAGAAAAAAATGATTCAAAGTTTCGTTTACGAGTTTCGATGAGTTTTTTGTGTGTGTTTATCAGGAGACTGATTCTGACAATGACGATCGTTCGCCATGTTCATATTGTATTTATCGGAGTCATCTTGTGGTTTGTGTGGAATTATATGATCGTCAGTCGTTTTGATGTTGTATATAGTTGTTAATAATAACTATTCTTCACACTCT